ATCAATTGTTATTATAGTAACAGTTGTTCTACCTTTGTTGTTTTTATAAAAATCTGTATATAATTTAAAATTTATATTTCACTTATAATTTCACTGGCTCAATTCTTATGAAAGAAGTTTTACTTCCCCAGARTATAACGGTGGACCCACCCACTCTCGTGTAGTTTTTTTTTAATTTACGTGAAGATTTTTTCTATACATTTTATTACTTACTTTTTTTTTTTAAAGTCTGGTCAATAAGCTTGAAAATTTAAGACAAGGTTCTCTTTAAGTTTGTATGAGAGATGAAAACTATTTAAGATACATCAGTACAATTTATTTTATAAACATTTAAATAATTTTGTAATCCATATGGTAATTTACAAGGTGTTCAATTTTTATTGCTGGAAATTGAAAATTGAAAACATTTTTTTCATAAGTATTTCATAGTTTCTTATTTTAACAAACAATTCTGAAATTTATAGAAACATAGTTTTTTCTATAGATATTTTAAACTCAAATTTGGACAAAACTAAATAATTCAATGAATAATAACAATTTTAGTATTTTTATTGTAACTTAAAGATATAATTTATGGGTAATTAAAGTTTTTAAAATATATCATTATATAATGTACACAATACACACAATGGTTTTTTCAAACGCATTTGTTTTATCAAAAATTATTTCAATATACTGTATTAAAATTAATAATAAAATAAATATTTTAATAGAAATAATATCATGAAATATACTTAATAATGCTGAAAAAATGTTAGGAATGTTAGGATGTACTCATATCAATGGTACACCTAATACATTCATATACTATATAAATTTAAAATATATACTTAATACTAATTAMATGCTTATTCAAAATTTGATGTTAATGTTTCAAAGTACTCCATACTCTAGTAGCGGAATTATGGTGGTGGGTTATTAGGTAATAAATAAAACACAACATTTTTACATAAAACCTTCAAACATATTCTTTATATTTTTTTTGTAATATATAATTTACTTTAAAATCATTCAAAACCCATAATTAACAATATTATCTGAATATATCTTGTTTATGTTAAACATGATAAGATTGCCAGTTGATCAGAGGAAGTAAATATAAATTTTAAACTACTCGGACATTCTCTTAAAATAAATAATTTTGAAATTTATGGTAACTTACCAAAAATCGGTTATTTGGTATTGGGTGTGTTACCAATATTTATATTTATTATTATTGAGAATGAGAAATGAGAAATAATAATATTACATTTTAGGTTAACAATGTTGTAACAATTGAAAATGGTATGTTACGAGAAGTTAATAAAGATTATAAAAAAACCAAGCACAAGTATCAAATAATATTGGAAAGTATTTCAATAATACAAATTATAAATAATAACGAGATGGATAATGGTGACCTGCCAATTCATAAATATACATCAGCAGCAGAATTAAACACTCTACCTTCTGGAATGATAATTGGTAAGTAAATTATTGTTTATATCTATTGATTTTTTTTTATTAATTAATTCGCAGCAACGCCAAGCCATATTATTATTTATATATTCATATTGGTTATTAGATGTCATTGGTGTATGTTACCAACTCGATAGTGAAAAGACAGTTAATGCTCAAAATCAGCAAGTCAGAAAGGGACATATTATGGTTGATAGTACACTATTAGTAAGGAAATAATATTATGAACGTTAAATAGCAATAGAAATAATTTAATAAATGCTTATATTATATTTTTTAGATTGAAGTTAAATTTTTTGGTGACAAAGTTGATACTCTCTACGCTATAGGTAGCACATTATCTTTGATTAGTGCCAAATATGTCAATTTCAAAGGATATAAATATTTAATAGTTGAGAGTTCAAGTTTTGTAAAATGTGGTAGGTACTTATTGTTAATTATGCTATTTATAAACAGCAAAGGTGGGCAAGTTAAGTTAATTCAATAAAATTGCCTTCAGTTAAGTTAAAAGTTACTAAAAAAAAAAATTAACTAGATAAGTTAAAAATTAAGATAAAAAATAAAATAAACTTAACTCAGTTAAAAAAAATTTAATTTTTTTTTCAAGTCACAATAATCATAAGTCATTAATTGCC